GAGAGACAGAGAGAGAGAGACAGAGACAGAGACAGAGAGAGACAGAGACAGAGACAGAGACAGAGAGAGAGAGAGAAACAGTTATACCATAGTAACTTATCAGATTGAAATGGGAAAAAATACACAGGTTGTGATTATGTACGTGTTTTCAAATTTTGCTGATGTATTTGTTGAGCTTATTATTTTGAATTGACTCCCCTCCCATCTCCTCATCCCCCCATCGTCTCTCGAGGCTAAAATTTATAAAAAAAATGAGACTTTAATAATTTTGACCTGTTGTATGTCCGATTTTCAAACAAAGGGGAGATAAGCCAGAAGAATAAAAACTGATAATTATGGGCCAGTAGCTGTAGCCAGTTCAGTTCATTCTAAGAAAGTTTGGTGGTTTGGATGTGGAGCCATATGGATTTGAGCAGATACTTATATTGTCGGGGGCGGGGGGGGGGGGTTAAGGAATGCTGACAGTATAGAAAGAACTATCTACTTGCAATATCTTGTCTGCATACTGGGTCTTGGTGACTCACTCTTGAGATAAGAAACAAATCTTGATGGTCCTCGGCTTCCATTCATGTATCATACAGGTTCTCCATCGATAGTGGTAAAAATCCAGTACATTGGATGGGAGAAAATTCTTCTGTTCAAAAATGAACTAGAAATTGTAACATACACAATAGGCTGACAGGAAAACAAAACAACTGGTATGCATAATGTATTTGGTGAAATAATAGCCTGAACATCTTTAAAACTCATTTACTCATTCACCCCTGAAGATGCAGTTGAACTCTTCCAATTCAAAGGTTGGAATAGTTCATTATGAATTTCAAGGGTGAATGAATTAAAATTTGCAAGAAGGATATGGCATAACTAGTGGAATGGAAAATATATATTTGAGATTAATGTAAAACAATCTTGTTTTTTTGGAAGTGGCATGATTCATGGCAATTTCATGCAAAAGAAATCAACTTGCTTTAATTTGCATTCTGCCGCGTTCATGTGTGCGAGCTCTCCTGTGAGAAAATCACAAAACTTTCTGTCAATCAATTTAAATGATGCTTTTTTACTCAAAATCTTTCCAGCGTCCATGATTTTATATTTGATGAACTTTTGACATAGCTAATTTCGATGCAATTTACTGTGAATCAAAGCTGTAGTGGTATGTTGACGGCACTGTTATAAAGCAACAACACAGCACCTGAAACAATCATAAAATATTAAAACTGATTGCTCTAGTTTAATTGATGCGAAATTGAAAATATGTTGAAGAAATATAGATCAATCACAAGCTTAGGTGATGATTAAAACAATATTTTATTTCGTCTTATTACTTTGAATATTGAGATAAACCAGCTTCTACTTCGAAAGCAGACGGGAGTTAAATTCATGTGTATATGTATCACATGATGTTTGTATGTTATTTCCTTGTAATGGTATTTACCGCAGTGCAATGCAGTTGCATGTATAATTATACATGTGCAAGCCAGCAGTGTGTCATCATCATCATGTATTAATTAATTAGCTTATCAGTTTATATACTCTGCTGAACCATTGACTATGCTGGTACGGGTATACACAATACACTTGTGACGTTTAGTCACAGAATAATGGAACAAAATTTTCCCACACTAATCTGATCTTAAAAAAAGTAACTTTTTATGTTTTCAGTGTGAGGGACTTGGATAAATATATATATATATATGAATATATATTGTATTCAGAGTCTTATTTATTCAAAAGCCAATGACTGAAATTCATCTTCTGTTAAAACATATCCATCGACACCACGTTCTATCACATCTTGGAGATATATTTGATCCGAACTTTGTTGTATACTGTCATAAATGTTAAAAACATTATATTTCAGTCCATGGTTGTATTTCTGATCAAAACAACAAAACAGATTCTGTTTTATTGTTCTAGGTGGTTTCTTTTGGTTAATGAAAATGTTAAACAATTAAGCTGTTTTACAATAGAGTGGAAAAGGCATTTTTGCTGGGAACAAGGTTTTGTGTTCAAAAGTTGCCATTTCTGTTAGAAATATTTGAATATGCTATCATGGCTTGATTATTATTAAATTGTATGACAGAAAGACCCTAATATCCTCTGATTGGTAAAGTGTTTCTACATCCCAACAAATGTCGGATTCCTCAGTATGTACTCTGTCAGTGGTGTTGGTGTTTCCACTAGTAATCAAACAAGGAATTATGGTATGGGACTAGCAAAAATATTCGAAAAACCTTATTCTTTATGTTAAAATATGATGGCAATGTTATAATTATAATGTTTTGGGGATCATAATTATATCTCTCTGATAAAGACAAAAGGTGAAAAATGTTGAATCTTTCGAGTTATCCGTTTGAGAGCTGTTCAAAGCTTTACCACTGGTTTCATTGACACAGGCATTTATAAGTAAATTATCTCCCTTGAAATCCTGGAAGGACGCTGATCATTCCCAGGATACTTTCAAAGTGCTGATACCCATTTATACAGCTGGGTAGATTTGTTCAACCAAACTAAAGTGCCTTTAAAAGACATCAACAAGAGCTAACTGCTGGAACAACATTCGTACAGTCTTGTGTTTACAATGTATTCCTATAGGATTAATTATCTTGTTGGTGTCATACCTTGAATGTAACACTGTGCTGTAGATTCCCATTGTAGTAATTTTGTCTGGTTACAAGCCTGTGTGAATCGCCGTGCATTTCTGTAGGATTTTTACACCACCGAAATATTGCTAAACAGGTGAAAGAATAGCAAATTGGAAAAAAAAGGTTTAGGTGCACACAAATATCAGGAAATAAAACAAGGAAAATGTGTTATGATGGTCTTAATGTCATACTGTGATGGAAATTGGATTTGGACATGCTTGAGAAATCAGACACATTTCAACAACGATTGAGTATCATAGATAGCCCTATAATGAAATAAGTATTGGTAATTGATTTCTGGGTCAAATTGCACACAAGGTTTTATTGATTTCTGGAATTGATTCGGAAATGTTCCTTTTGACATCAGAAATGTACATGTTGCCGTTATGTTTTTGATGATAACATATATGGTATAATTATATTAGATGCTACCCTGTTTATATATGCCACTTCATCATTACCGTCCATATCACACAATGCTTGTTGACATTCTCTGACAGTGTTTTATTGACTGTGGTTATGTGGATCTTTGTATTAATTAAGATGAAATTTATTTATTAAAAGTCCTAAAATCAGGAATTGGATATTTTGTTTACCATTCAACAAAAAAGATGAATAAAGACTAACATACTGTGTGATGTTATTTTAACTCATTTACCCCTACATTTTTAAAATGGACTTTGGACTCTGTCTTTGATTTGGTAAGGTTCAAATGTGACTTCAGGGGTGAATGGGTTAAACTGAAAGTATCCAGAAAGTAAACCACAGACTCGCGGGAAAGTCCTGAAACATGTAGCAGTTACGAGAGAAAATGTAAGATAGGATATCACAAATACTACTCTGATCTGTTAGGGAGGCATGCATATGAAATAATTGAATGTCATTGATTAGAATTCTGACTAAATCGATTGTTAACGTGTAGGGGAGAACCACTCATTTATTCTACTAACTGAGCAGGATAAGGAATGACACATATTTCCAAGTAACAGACATCAGAATGTTTTGCATCACAAGTTAAACATTTTTCTCTGTCATAAGTTAATTAATTAAGGGCCTTACTGACAAAGTGGTAAAATTGATCTATCAAGATTAAGACTTTAATTCTTGCTTCCAACCTTAATCAACAATTAATATCACGTATACCATATATATGGGTGACTTCCGACGGGGTTTACTTTACCAACCATACTAGTACTCCATAGACATTCTACATGAATTTTCGTAAATCGTTTCGGGGGATATGTCATAGAAAATCTGATGCAGGTTTGACTTGTGCATACTTAAAATTTATTTAATAGTCAGTCCTAAGTGTAACTTTACCCCAAAATACAATATAATAATCAGTTTCTGCCTCAGGTGGGATATGGAGTTTTTCTACTGACCAGATTTGGTATCGATCTGGTTTGTGAGGTTTGCATATAGGGCGAGGTGATGGCAATATATATCAGACACGAACATAAAAAAACAGATTGATATCATTTTCAATCAGTAAAACGTTCTAAAATGAATGTTTTACAGGGTTGTGGCCATGTTAGTTAATTACTTCAGTATTATGTTGACTAAATGTTATTGCAAGCTAAAAAGGACGCCAGCTTCAGAGGAGGGGTGCAACTCTTGTTTTGATGTCAAAATTAAACTGACCACGCCTAATACAAGTTATACCTTTAAGTTGAAACATTTTGACATGTTGTTTGACCAGTTTGCCTATGTTTCGTCTATTTTTATTCATCATCTTGATATTTTTGTGTCTGTGCCGACTGGTGTTGACTCATCTAAATAACCTTTGTTCTTCATTATCAGATAGTCTCAGCACTGTTGATGACATCATCAATACTGCACCCATATTTGGTCAGTACCAGTGACTACATGCTGACCGGATACTGGATTTATCACTTCAATTTGTGTACACATGATTTTTATATACATTTTACAGTGGTCTGTATTTTTCATTTCAGGGGACATAACTCAGAAAGGATATGACAAGAAAAGGAGCAGACTCCTGTCCCCTTACAACGTACAGCCACCGCCACAGGACACAGGTTAGTCTAGAAATTCAAGAGGACAGTAAATAATAGTTCTGTCTCCTTTTTAAGAGCCTGAGTTAGCAGATACAGATACAAAACAATAATTTAAAACATCATAAGACCAGGTAAGGTGAACCCAGAGAAGCTGTTGGTGCCCCAAATATATGTGATCCCATTTATAATAAGAACTGGTGTAAATTTTAACACTTCAGTAAGAGATTAAACTAAACTCCTGGGGCAGGGTGCCGAGGTCAATAGGGGAAATGGAGGTAAATTTTTAACATCCACCCAACTTCATGGAGGCAGAAGGAAGGGACTCGATGACAGACAGCTGTTGCTGAGAGACAGTATTATATCTATAATAAGTATATTTTCCCAGGATTATTTAATTATCCAGGTGCGCTATGCAGGCCCCCTGGGCCTCTCGTTTTACACACAGAAGAACTGTTGTTGATTATAATTTGTTTACTTCTTTTTTATTATTTTTTCATGCAAGGTATGTTTTTTTCAGAAATGAATGATCAAAGCTATAGTCCTGCTGGAAAACAGTTTCCAATACTTTGTAATGGTGTCATTATATGCATCGGAAACGTTTTGTTGCGAGAATTGCATCAATCGTTTTTTCCCTCTCGTAAAGCGAATAGAAACCCTTCATATAACTGCTTCATGTATACAGTAGAATGGTTGACACAGGACAGGTTCTCACGTGGGTAACTGTTCTTGTGCATCTTAACGTTTTCACCACACAGACAGTTTGGGTGATTTGATATGAGCTGTCATGCTGAGCTCTTGTCTGACATGAAATCAATACATGCACCTAGAGATAGCAAGGGCATCCCCGATCTTTGTCAAGTGATTTATTTTCTTCTAATGAAAGTTGAAACGCAACAATGGTTTATTTTTTGCATGCAGTTAAGATTGCACATTTTGTTGATAATGACACTTGTAAATTATATTCCAACGGTCGGCCGGTACAGTCATAATAATCCGCAATACTTTTATTTGTTAACAGATGTCTGTATTATCTTATTAAGGCATTTAAATTCTAAATTAATGATTCAACAGAAAAAATCTACACTGATTTTGTATTCGGAATATCGGCTCGCCTTGAAGTATGTGGTGTAATTTTTTAGCTCGTGTCGACTATATTGAGGTGTGCTTGTGTAGTAGGCATGCATGCTACATGCACAGTCATCTTCATGGAAAACCACAGACAGCGATAGGCCAGAGTGCACAGCATTGACTCATTCAATATTTCCATGTTGAAACTGGATTTCCCCCGACATACTTTGCAGTGATTTCAATGGTTGGGTTATTAGCTTGCTGTAAAGTCCAGTCGTTATGGCTGTATCATGTATATATATATATACACTTATAACATTTCTTTGTCTGCACTGTCGTCCTTACTTCTTTGCCCATATACACTTACATATATGTAAATTGTCATGTTGCTGTCTTGATAAATTAAAGGGGCAGATCGCCCTGGAAATTTGACAAATTTCTTTGCACTGTCGTTATTACTTTTTTGCCCATATACACGTATATGATAGCCGATTATACTAGTCTTCGTGTTTTGTTTTATTTACACTTATATATTTCAGGATTGACCTTCATTTTGACTGCGTATACGGTAGTATGAACGCATTTGGCAACGAACATATTCTATGGAGCGCATTAGCGCTCCATAAAGAATAAATAATATGTTCGTTGCCAACTGCGTTCATACTACCGTATACGCAGTCAAACTGAAGATCATTTCTTATATTTACATATTTTCGTACTATGATGGTTCACTCAGAATAAAGCTAACTCCAATACATTTGCTTTTATAATGGTACAAAACATAACGTGCGTAAATCCAAACAAATGAACAGCCTACAGCCTGCAAGCAGCGATGGATCTCCAACGTTACCATTATGACGTCACAATGTAAATTACGTCATCAATAGGAAACAATGGTCTCCAAGGAATCTCCCTGCGTATACGGTAATGTATACGCAGTCACGGTTTACACAGCTTCAATGGGAGCGAATGTAAATATATATATATATACATACTAAATTTGAAAAAAATACTTCCTTTAGGATTTATTCAGCATGGATGTGAATCATTGCGATTTAAACTCGCTGAGTTATTTCTTGAATAGAAGCCAGCACAGGATTTTTTTTTATTTTAACAAAGAAAAAAATTTCAAAGTGACAATTTTACGATGAATCATACCGCTGCCATGCTCACATTGTATAGACACCTATGTAAAGACAGCCCTAGCTACAGTCAGGTAGAGTTGTATTGAGCTTCTAAGGGAAGCTTAAGTGAGACAGAGTATTTTAATCAATAATATTCTCTGCAGATAATGATTACAGGAAATGAGGATCTGGTGCCACATGAGGTGAAGGAAATGCCTGGCCATGAGGAGTTCCTCTAAGTTTAACAGTGTTTTGTGAGAGTGTTTATGTTGTCTCTCCTTTTGTTTTGATGTTGATGCATTTTGTTCTTGTCAGTTGTGTGTTGATACAATAGCACATCTTGTTGTTAATTTAATTTCAAGTTAAAAGTGATAACCATCGGCCAAAACACTTTGAGACTTTGGATTCTGATGTTGTACTTGTCAATGCAATGAAACCTTTGGCTTTTTCTTAATTTTTGAATGGAAATTAAATGATCAGCCTCAGACAAAATACTTAATTATAAATGTTAAGTGTTCTGCTGAATACTAATTGTTCTGCAGTCGTTTAAAACAAAATGAATTGTTGATGTCCTGTGTTAGAAGAGTGTTAGAAGAGTTGTTGATGTCCTGTGTTAGAAGAGTTGTTGATGTCCTGTGTTAGAAGAGTTGTTGATGTCCTGTGTTAGAAGAGTTGTTGATGTCCTGTGTTAGAAGAGT